TAAGAAGAAGAAGGGGTTAGTAAGAAAAAGATGGAGTAAGAAGAGGAGGGAGTAAGAAAAAGAGGGGGAATAAGAAAAGGGGGAGGGGGGAGTAAGAAGGAGGGGAGATAAGAAAAAGAGGAGGGTAAGAAGAGGGGAGGGGAATAAGAAGAGGGGAGGGAGGGGAATAAGAAGAGGGGAGGGGAATAAGATGAGGGGGGAATAAGAAGAGTGGAGGGCGGGGAGTAAGAAGAGGGGAGGGGGGAATAAGAAGAGGGGATGGAGGGAATAAAAAGGGGAGGGGGAAATAAGAAGAGGGGGGGAATAAGAAGAGGGGAGGGGGGGAATAAGAAGAGGGGAGGGGGGGAATAAGAAGAAGGGGCAGCTCTATAGGACAGGGCCCAAGACAGGGAGCTCTTTCACACTACGCGCGCACACACACACAATGCATCCCTATACATACACAGAAACACAACATGCTTCCCTTACACACAGAGAAACACACAATGCATCCATTACACACACACACACAATGCAACCCTTACACACAAAGACAATGCATCCTTTGCACACATACACAGAAACAGACAATGCAAACCCGTACACACGCATGCAAACACACACACTTCTTTTCTTACATACACACAGAAACACAATGCATCTCATGCACACACATACAGACACACACCTTGCATCCCTTATGCATACAAACACAGATTCACACAATGCATCCCTTACACACAACCAGAAACACATAATACATCCCTTATACACAAATACACACTGCTTCCACTACACACAAACACACTGCATCACCTGCACAAACTGGTAACCCTAAACACTACATACCATAAGCACACATATTAGATCCTCTACAATAACACATAACACATCCCCTACACACTCCACTCCCTGTGAGCGAACTCATGGGTGGGTGGAACTTATGAGTGGGCCTTATGGGCATACTCACCGTCAGGCCCTGGGGCCCAGACCTTGAGCTGTGTAAGGGGCCCCCAAAAAATTGAGCTGCTTCCAATTCTCCCAGAACATTGAATTTTGTGACCACAGTTGCAAACAGCCTCCAGAGATCCTGTTCTACACCAGACCAGTGGAGCCAAACTGCAGCCCATCATCATCCTCATCTGCTTGTAAGTAGGCAATCTAGTATATTATTAGTGACACTAATCTATAATTTACCTCACATTAAAGGGACACTATAGCTTAATGAAGTGGTTCTGGTGTCTATAGCTGGTCCCTGCAGGCTTTTTAATGTAAACACACACTGTGTGCAGCACTGGCGTTAGTTCATATGGCAGGTCATATGGGTGGGGCATTGTGATGTGACATGTGGGGGCAGCAAATTTTTATTTTGTCTAGGGCGGCAAAAATCCTTGCACCGGCTCTGATCCTGGGCAGGTGCACCAGTCTACTTGACTGGTTTTGCCCCCCAGGCCTAAGGCTGCCAGCCCTCCCCTGGCCGCTGGGGAGGTCTTTTGGCGGCCGCTGGCGGACTTGTCCTGGCGGCCGCTGAGGGAGCTGCGCGAGCTGCGCTGGCTCTGCTCCCCAGCACGCAGCTGAATGAGACCAGTGCCGGAATATGACGTCATATTCCAGCGCCAGTCTCATTCAGCAGCGCGCGAGGGCGGGAGGGCACTAACACAGGAAGCACCTCTAGTGACCGTCTGAGGGACTGTCACTAGCAGTGTCACTTTGAAGCAATGTAAACACTGCCTTTTGTCTGAAAAGTCAGTGTTTACGTTGAAAAGCCTGTAGGGACATGCTATAGACACCAGTACCACCACATTAAGCTGTGTGTGTGTGTATCAATGAGCTTGTGTGTGTCACTGAAATGTCAGTGAAATTGCCTGTGTCTGCATGTGCGTATGCTTACTGTATAATTAAACGTTTTACCCTGAAAGGACCAATATTTTATATTAGAAAAAGCAATATATATATATATATATATATATATATATAAATTACTCCATCATCTGTCCTGGCAAGACATAGCCTTGCATATTACACGCGACAATATATGGTGCAGTGACTTATGGGGCTGGCACAAATTTTTTTTCCAGGGCTGCTTTGTATCCCCAGTCCGGCCCTGCTTAGGCCCCAACCCTCCATGCAGCATGCATAGGCATATCCACTAATGATGACCAACCATCAGAATAAAGTCCAGATTTTGCAGTTTGAATGCCCCACACAACTATATCGTTTTTTTTCTCCATTCCGATGGGGCCATTCAGGCCTTAGTGAACACATTGGCACATACAAACACACCGATACACACACTGGCACATACAAACACACCGATACATACATACTGACATATAGACACAGAGATACACACACACACCTTGACACACAGATACACACATTGTCATATACACACTGACATACACATAAACACATTGGCACATGAAAACACACTGGCACACACACACACAGATAAACACACATAGTGACACATACACACACTGGCACATACACACACACAATGGCACATACAAACATATACACACACCCTGACATAAAGATACACACAGTCAGATACAGATACTGCCACATGCACACACTCAGATGCACACAGTGACACATACACACAAACACACACATACAAACACTGGCACATACACACACATTGTCATATACACACTGACACACACATAAACACATTGGCACAAGAAAACACACTGGCACACACACACACACACACACACACAGATAAACACACACACTGGCACATACACACACACAATCTAACAAACATCAGAGCCACTCTCCTGTTAACTTACCTTGTGATCCTGGTGATGTTGGCTGAGGCTGACTGGAGTGAGCTGCTGCATTCTCACTCCAGCCTCTCATCTGCCATGCATGTTGCTCCCTCTCTGGGCTGCCGTCTTCAGCCTCCTCCTCCCTCCCTACTGCATGGCAGCAACGCTGTGAAACAGCCGGCCAATACTACAGGGGCCCAGTCGTGCTCATAAAGGGCGGCGGCACCCAACCGGGCCCCTGTCTAACGAGCAAATCGCAGTGGCAATTTTGTTTTGCATTTGTGTTCACCAATTGGGAAATGTTGATTTAGACAGTAGTCATGAACATAGAACAAGTTGGCATTTTCATGAGGCATTTTGCGTTCAAGGCAGTCGATATACCAACAATTTGAAGTAAAAATGGTATATAACATTATTATTATTTTATTATTTATATAGCGCCATCACATTCCGTAGCGCTGTACATAACCAATGTAATACGGAAGTTATTCAGGTTGTTAGAGGTTGGTCGTTGCAAATGGCCCTTATATGGTGTGTAAACAATAAGGGTCAGGTTTGGGCGTTTAGGACTCAGCCCCGCTTGGTGTTACCCTGGAGGGCTAGGTTATGCAAGAGGTCGGGTGTGTGTGAATATGGCCATCTTGGAATGTCTTTCCTATAGTTTGTGTTTTTCGCATTCACCTCATAAGAGTTTGGCTCAGGTCATTGTCCAGAGTGGGAGGCATAGTGGAGACTGAGCCGAGGAGGGGTGATAATTGATAAGAATTAGTAGAGGAGAAGGGGAAAAGAGACGGCGAGGGGGTGGAATAAGAGGGAGAAGAAAAGAGAAGGAGAAAAGGAAGAGAAACAAAAACACATTACATTCCCCTCCTTTAAAGAGGGGGAGGTGTGGAAGGTGCATATTTACATTTTTGAAGCAATACTTGATATGGTTGATCAGAGCTTCATGAGCAAATGCTTACACATATGCCAAGCAGTCTGAGAAAGAAAGCTCCTGAAGGACTTGAGTTTGGTTTTAAGGTATGCTCCAAGCATCATACCCACTAAAGCCCACTGAAGTGGTTATGGTGCCATGGGTTCCCTAGAGCCCACCGAGGCTAAATTAAATGATAGTCAAACCATTTGCATATGGTTTGATCGATTACTTGGGATCCACCAGGCCCCTCATCCTCTGCTGCTGTTGGCTGAAGCACTGAGCTAAGATTTTTGATGCAGGGCTTACCTGTTGGACCAGCCTTGCACCAAATGGCTTAATTCAGTGGAGCTATTGAAAGCACCGAGCGATAGCTTCCAGCTCCAGAAGATGTTGCAACCAGTGACTGGCAGACCTCAGGTATGTTAACAAACTACTGTATTTGCAAATGGATTGACTACTTTACTACTTACTGTGAGAGGACAATAAGGCACTCTTGACAACATAATAACTAGAGCAGGTAATGGTTATGGTGCTTAGAGTGTTCCTTTAAACTGTTTGAAACTTCGTTAACATTTCAAAGTAATTAGGCACCATCACCACTTCAGTTGGCCTCCAAACTGTCTGATCCCCCTCTGATATATCAATAATTGAAAGTTTTTATGTTCTGGGTCATCGTGTCGACTATGAGCACGAACAATAGAACACCAATGCTTCTCTCTGAGAAGCATTGGATTAGTTTGAGACATTGTGGATAGTGTTGCGGCAGCGTTGTTGAGATCAGAATTAAAAGCGAGTTTAATTTATTTTAGATAAACGTTAGTATATTTATAAACATTAGCGTGTTCCAACGGTTAGAGGAAAAGCATTAACCTATAGTTTCATATAGCAACACACAGCAAAGGTGCCAAATAGACTCTGAGTTACAAACTGGCAGAATTTTGGAACAGACTCCGATTACAATTAGGAAGGTAATGAAATGGCCATATTTTCTCCCCTGGCTGCATTTTCCAAAACAAGCCCCCACCTCGGTTGCTTCCCATATTATGGAGTCACCTTACCAACTCCCTAACATGGGCCAATAATAGGGCTATAATCAAGCTGGGGGTATTTTTTATATAATATGTTCTCTATTTTGGTGATCATTAATAAATAGAATACATCTCTTTCATCACCAAAGGAGAGCACATATAGATAGATATATATAAAATGTTTTTTTTTTTCTGCCCCAGCTATTGATTACACAATATTGCACAAAACCAGCCCGTGTGACAGCGCCCGCTGGAGCCAGTTTCCATGACAACAGCACGCTCAGACGTGTACAGTGAGAACCGGAAGTCCCTCCTAGGTGCTGTCACTTCCGGTAGTAGGTGACAGCCATCTTTGCGGTGATTTGCCGGGAGGGGGTGTCTCCGCCATAGACGGTAAACATCTGAGCCATCCGCGGAGCCTGAGCCCAGGGACCGGACAGCGCGTCTTCTACACAGGTAACGCTTCCCGCTGGCGGCGCCATTTGCGGTTTACATGCGGGGCTGGGGCGAGGGGGGGGCCGGGTAGGAGCCGGAAATGGGCGACCAGCTGATGGTAGACAAGCGACAAACTCCTCCCATATGGGGGGGGAGACAGCTGGGGGGCTTCACAGCCCGGTCATACCTGCCAGGACCCTGCAAATCAATAGAGAGCCGGTATCTGTGTCTCCATGTGACCTACTGCTCATTGATATGTAGGGGCAGCCATGGCCAGCTGTGGGGGGGACACACTATATAACCAGACTGGGTCATATGGCACAGGCAGCTTGCTGGGGTAATACACTATTATTAGTCACCTGGGTTTGACCGGTGCAGACTAGTCCCCTCTCCTAAATGTCACAGCCCTCCCCCCTCCTCGGTGGTATTTACATCAATTAGTATAATTGTTACTGTACTGCATAGTATATTTGTAGTAATTGTTATTTACATTAACCTGCGGTAGTTTTACCCTGCATAATACACACCTGTTTGAGTGCAATGCTAATCCTTAGAGTGGCTCTGACTGGCTGAACGATTCACTCCATGTTGTTTTTTTTCTTTCTATAAATAGATCTCTGACTTCAGGCATTGCAACTTCTAATTTGCCTATAGATTTTGAATGAATTAATAGTTAACCCCACTGGAAAACATGTTGTTAGCTACACTACAGTTGCATGTGCAGTGGTGTGTATATAAGGTCACCATTTTATGGTAAAAAAAAATATTGCAGTGACCACATACAAATCATTCAAGGTATATTTACATTTTAAGTTGCTTGCACAATCTGTACTACTAGTTCTAGATGACATGGTTTCCATCAGGAGCTTTCCGTTCTGGATTTGCATACGACCTTGTCTAGAAGAAAAATAACTAATTCTGTACCAACAGTCTTTTTTTAAATATGTGTGTGAATTGGGGAGCGACCAGTATTGATTTTATTTTTTTTAGAGCCGATACCGATAATCTGTGAACTTTAGTGCCGATAACTTACCGATATTCTGTACATTTACCATATTGAAAAAATAAACGATTACTAAAGGTAAATGCACAAAATATACATGCCATGTGTAGTGGATACAGTGTGTTTAGACAGTGGAGCTGTCTGTATTTGTGTAGTGTGTGTGTGTATATAATGAATGCAGAGTGTGTTTGTGTAGTGTGAATACTGAATGCAGTGTTTTTGTGTGTGTGTATATAATGAATGCAGAGTGTGTTTGTTGTGTAGTGTGTATAGTGAATGCAGTGTTTTGTGTAGTGTGTGTGTGTGTGTGTGTATATAGTGAATGTAGTTTGTGGTGTGAGTAAAGTGAATGCAGTGTGTGTATATATACTAAATGCAAAGTTTGTGTAGTGTGTGTGTGTGTGTGTGTATATAATGTAGCGTGCATTATGTAAACACACTACACAAACACACACACTGCGTTATATACACACTACACAAACACACACACTGCATTCACTATACACACTACACAAACACACACACTGTATTATATACACAGTGTGTTTGTGTAGTGTGTGTATATAATGCAGTGTGTTTCTGTAGGTATGTAATTTGGGGGGAGGGAGTATTTTTTTATTTACATATATTTAAAATGTTTATTTTATTTTTTTAGTCCCCCATCCCTGCTTGTTAACTGGCCATGGAGGGGGGATATGCCATTCCCTGGTGGTCCGGTGGCATGGAAAGTACAGAAGGGGCCTGCATCAAGTGCTTGCTTACCTTCGCAGCAGCTCCTTTCAACTCCCTGTATAAATCCCACGGCCAGTGTGCGAAACGTTGCCATGGTAACCTGTGGCAACACTCTGACGGCCGCGGGACTCGCAAGATTTACACAGGGAGCTGCTGGGGAGGTAAGTAGGCGCTTGCTGCGGGCCCCCCCAGGACCTCCGGACTTGTAATAGCCCCGGCGGTCCTGGTATGTATTATTGGCCGATAACAAAAATACCGAAGATCAGCCAGACCGATAATCGGTCGATCCCTAGTGTGAAAATATAATGTGCAAATTGTGAATGGGTATTTCCAGTTCAGTTATTGTGGCCTAAAAGGGACACTGTAGGCATCTAGACTACTTCAGCTCATTGAAGTTGTCTGGGTGCTGTGTCCCTTTTGAACTTAGTGTTGCAATATAAAACATTGCAGTTCCAGAGAAACTGCAATGTTTACATTGCAGCACTAAGTCTGCCCTCTGTGGCTGTCTACCAGACAACCACTGGGGGCGCTTCCGGAATCCAAACTAACTTTTGGTCCGTTATCTGACGCTGGACATCCTTGCGCTGTGCATTCAATGCATTCAATGGGTATGTCTAATGTGGATGGAGCCTGACCCAGTGCCGAGGGACATCTGCGCTAGATTTAGGTAAGTGGCTGAAGGGGGGCTATTAACCCTACAATGCCAAGAAAACATCTTTGCTTTTTTGGCACTATAGGATCCCTTTAATACATCAAAAGAACCACTACAGCTTAATGTAGTGGTTCTGGTGTCTATAGCATGTTCCTGCTTTACATTGTAATGTGCCTAGTAACACCTCTGCTGGCAGTCACTCGGATTTCCACTAGAGGTGCTTTCTATCCCTCCATGCATGGTCCCCATAGAGATGTATTCATGCAGTCTAGTATGAGGAATCACTGATTGGCGCAGCGTTTTGCTGTGCATTCGCAATTGCCTCCCAATGATTTGGCTAAGATCAAGATTGAGCAAGGGTAAAGGTAGCATTCCAAAGACTGTGGGAACCATTAGACAATAGCATAGTGGGATCCAGTGAGGACAGGTAGGAGAGTAGATGCGGCCTAGCCACGGAGATCCCCTTCTCACGAAGGACATAACTATCGCATTGAAAACATAGGAGCCCTCCACCGTCCCCCATCTTCTCCCCCTCTCCTCCCCTCCCATCTATACTTTACCTCTTCCTGATGCTATATTTTATCTCTATTTTCTTCCTTAGAACTTTCTATCCTCTCTTTCCTTATTTTCTTCTTTTTATTTTTTTTTTTTGTGCTTCCCTGCCTTTCAAGGGAAGGATTCTCTCTTTTAATTTTTCTTCAATTTATCCCAGGCATGATCAAAATAATGGAGGAATAAGGAAACCTAAGGGCTAATGGGCAGTTGTTAGGGTAGGGCTCCTTATGTTTGTCTGAATGCCTGTTTAAAAAAACACAAAAACCCTCGATGGGAGACATGTCTCAAAAGAGTAAAGAATTGGTATCAAATGGTTCACCTGAAGCGCATTATGTTTTCCATAAATAATACTTATGTTGGCTTCTGCGTAAGCCTAAAAGTTCATTGTACACTTGTTATTTTTATCGAGTGCTAAAGAACTAAAAAAAAAAAAATCAAAAAAAAAAAATCAAGATTGATCTTAGCCACAGAGGTGGAGCCAGCTACAGCTTTGGGAAAAAAAGGTGAGTAAAATCACCTTTTCAACACGATCTGAGCAGGGCTAGTCACCTAAACAGCCACATCAGGACTATAATGTCAGGAGTATGTTTGTGTTCATAACACTATAGTATCCCTTTAAATTTTAATTTCACTTTGAGTTCCTGACATTTCTCACATTAGTAAGTAATCCTTTAAGAGAGTACATTTCAATGGTCCCTTCTTAAAGGAATGCTTTAAGCACCTTAACCCAGCATGCTGTGTCTGGATGTCCATTTACATATTGTAAGTTAGAATGATGTCTTCTTACCTCTGGGTCTGCTGGGTGCCGTTTCTCACCTCCACTAACTCTCTGCTATGGAGCTTCTTTTGGCTCTCCTGAGCTAAACCAGGCAGTGTAGGGATTGCTCATTGGCTGAGAGCATCATCTGATTGCTCTTATCCAATGAACTAAGCCCTGTACTGACGATCATGGCTCAGACAGAAAGCTTTGGGCTGTCTAGTTGATGTAGTGGAGTTGGGTAACTGCATCTGCCATGCTCCCCTCTTAAGATGTAAGTGATTACCGGGGGAAGGGTATGGTGCTTGCAGTGTTTCTTTTATAAAGGGTCATAGAAATATATTCATTTTTCAAAATTTCCAAATATTATTTATTTTTTAATTTTTGTCCCCACAATTATCCCTACAGCATTTACATAGTGACTTGTTTCCCATTACATAACAGCAGAACAGCAGATTCTTTATTGCTCGTTGTGCAAAGACTATTTGAGTACCATGCTCCAGTATTTTTGTGTAACTGCTTAAAGCTGCTTAACAAAAATGGGGGCCCTCCCAGCATCAAAAGTCTGATCTTGTGTTTGGCGCCTGAATAATATGGGTGTTTCAACTCTACATTATCCTTGGACAGCAATAATAGACTAATCACAGGCAAGGACCCAGACTTGAGGTACTAGGAAAGCCCTATTTATTATATAACTGCTTAAAATAGTTTGACAATATACAGGGAAGGTGCACTGCATGCAACGACTCTTTGCACCATAACCTAAATGATAGTTATAGGTCTTAGAGTTCTTCTTTTTTAATTTCTAGATAAAAGGACCAAAAAATCTAAAAAAATAAAATAAAAATTGCCTTATGTAACATGCAATATAGCTAACCCTCTGAAGACTGTTCTTGATAATTTGGTGCTAAAACACTTTGTCAGCTCCAAGCCTCAAAGGCAGAAGAACAAGTGCCCCCACTGGATATATGGGTCTTACTCAGGGACAGGAACAGTGAGCCAAGAGAGATGATCTGTAAAGGCGAAAAGATTAAAGGGACACTAAAGGCACCCAGACAACTTCAGTTTATTGAAGTGGTCTGGGTGCAGTGGGGGATGAAAACCAATTTTTCATGTTTCTTTAACGCAGTGTTCGATAAATCCCAGGCGCAATGGCGATTAGAAATTTTCTCCTGAGATGTGTTAGCCGGTGAGTTGCGGCACAGGCAGATGGACAGCGGAGGAGGAGGCCGGCTATATGGAACAGAGATAGGGAGGGAGCTGTAATTTTCCTGCTCTGCTTCCTCTCACACACTACAGTGATGATGGGAGCCAGACTATGATGTCACTACGGCCCCTGCATTACTAAAATGTGCGGGATAGAAAACAGAGCAGGGAGGTTACATCAGCCCCACTGAACCCCAGGGAAAGCCTGTCCACTCCAGCTTACCCAAAGGTAGGGTAGCTGGGTGGATTTAAATTGAAATAATAAAAAATATATATTTTTATGTTTGTGTGAGTGTCTGTCTGCCTGTGAGATTTTGTCTGTCTGTCAGTGTGTCTCTGTTTATGTAACCGGCCCAACTCTGATTTTACTCGCATTTTTCCCCTCACCGTGGCTGGCCCCACCTCCATGGCTGAGATAATCAATGTCGATGATATCAGCCAAGCCAGTGCTGTCCCATATGAAAGCATTGGGAGGCTATTGCTTGTGCTCTACAGGGAGTGCAGAATTATTAGGCAAGTTGTATTTTTGAGGATTAATTTTATTATTGAACAACAACAACCATGTTCTCAATGAACCCAAAAAACTCATTAATATCAAAGCTGAATATTTTTGGAAGTAGTTTTTAGTTTGTTTTAGTTATAGCTATGTTAGGGGGATATCTGTGTGTGCAGGTGACTATTACTGTGCATAATTATTAGGCAACTTAACAAAAAACAAATATATACCAATTTCAATTATTTATTATTACCAGTGAAACCAATATAACATCTCAACATTCACAAATATACATTTCTGACATTCAAAAACAAAAACAAATCAGTGACCAATATAGCCACCTTTCTTTGCAAGGACACTCAAAAGCCTGCCATCCATGGATTCTGTCAGTGTTTTGATCTGTTCACCATCAACATTGCGTGCAGCAGCAACCACAGCCTCCAGACACTGTTCAGAGAGGTGTACTGTTTTCCCTCCTTGTAAATCTCACATTTGATGATGGACCACAGGTTCTCAATGGGGTTCAGATCAGGTGAACAAGGAGGCCATGTCATTAGATTTTCTTCTTTTATACCCTTTCTTGCCAGCCACGCTGTGGAGTACTTGGACGCGTGTGATGGAGCATTGTCCTGCATGAAAATCATGTTTTTCTTGAAGGATGCAGACTTCTTCCTGTACACTGCTTGAAGAAGGTGTCTTCCAGGAACTGGCAGTAGGACTGGGAGTTGAGCTTGACTCCATCCTCAACCCGAAAAGGCCCCACAAGCTCATCTTTGATGATACCAGCCCAAACCAGTACTCCACCTCCACCTTGCTGGCGTCTGAGTAGGACTGGAGCTCTCTGCCCTTTACCAATCCAGCCACGGGCCCATCCATCTGGCCCATCAAGACTCACTCTCATTTCATCAGTCCATAAAACCTTAGAAAAATCAGTCTTGAGATATTTCTTGGCCCAGTCTCGACGTTTCAGCTTGTGTGTCTTGTTCAGTGGTGGTCGACTTTCAGCCTTTCTTACCTTGGCCATGTCTCTGAGTATTGCACACCTTGTGCTTTTGGGCACTCCAGGGATGTTGCAGCTCTGAAATATGGCCAAACTGGTGGCAAGTGGCAAGTGGCATCGTGGCAGCTGCACGCTTGACTTTTCTCAGTTCATGGGCAGTTATTTTGCGCCTTGGTTTTTCCACACGCTTCTTGCGACCCTGTTGACTATTTTGAATGAAACGCTTGATTGTTCGATGATCACGCTTCAGAAGCTTTGCAATTTTAAGGGTGCTGCATCCCTCTGCAAGATATCTCACTATTTTTGACTTTTCTGAGCCTGTCAAGTCCTTCTTTTGACCCATTTTGCCAAAGGAAAGGAAGTTGCCTAATAATTATGCACACCTGATATAGGGTGTTGATGTCATTAGACCACACACCTTCACATTACAGAGATGCACATCACCTAATATGCTTAATTGGTAGTAGGCTTTCGAGCCTATACAGCTTGGAGTAAGACAACATGCATAAAGAGGATGATGTGGTCAAAATACTCATTTGCCTAATAATTCTGCACTCCCTGTAATCAGCATTTCCTCAGAGATGCATTGAATAAAAGCATCTCTACGGGGAACATTCAGTGTCTTCATGCAGTGCGCTGAGACTCTGAACGTCACTGTTGGGCAGCACTGGACGAGGAACCACCTTTAGTGGCCGTCTACATTGCTACAAAGTAACATCTCTAGTGACAGTCACTCATGAAAAGGCAGTCATGGACAGGCGATAGACAGCAGAACCATTACATTAAGCAGCAGTGGTTCTGGTGACTATAGTGTCCCTTTAAGAATTGTTTTTTTTTTTTTGTTTTTAAATCATTGAAAATTAAGCTTTGTTAGTTAACACCTGGCTCCTAGATTCCAAGCAAATTTGTCAAGCCGTGCTTTAATGCATTTTTTTTTTTTTTTTAACCCGGTAAATGCATTTTGCCAGTTGTTTTTCTTTGTTTCTCACATTGTAATGCTTTCCCATTCCTCATCCTCTCCCTGCTTATTTTCCTGTTGGAAGGGGGAGGCTTTTCTGCTTTTTTCCTTCCTGCAGCCTCTGCTGACAAGTTAAAAAGATTATCCTTTCACATTCCACCCGTCTTTCCTCTCATTGCAGCTCAGTGTGAAAATCCAGAGCAAAGATGACAGACTCAAAATATTTCACTACCACCAAGAAAGGTGAGGAGAAAAGTGTTATTGTGGATTTTTGACAAATTCGAAAGGGAATTATGTTTAGAGAAGTTGTAAGTTGGCAGTCCTATTTATTTGATGCTTTTTCAGGTGAGATCTTCGAGCTGAAAGCAGAACTAAACAGTGACAAGAAGGAGAAGAAGAAAGAAGCTGTAAAGAAGGTTATAGCTTCCATGACCGTGGGGAAGGATGTCAGGTATGCTGGGTGTATAGGGTTTCCTAGTAAGGGTTGTGTTTCTGTTGTAGTTTACCTGTCAGTCTGGGTTTTGTTTGCATTCTGTACCTGATCAATGGAGCAAAGATGGAAAGGCACACTTTTCCATTTACACAGGATGAATGGAAAGACATCTATGAATTGTTAATTTGAGCAGCTGTAACATGCTACATGCTCTGATTGACAGACACAGAGTCAGCAGTGTGTGCTATCACAGCATGTTCTTCTGCATGCGACATCAAAATGTCGTAAAGGAAGAGTAGTCCATATAAACGTTTGCTGTACTTCCCGATTGAAGTGCGCTGTCCGCGATACTCACAGCTCCAGCATACATGAAGCTCTGATCAGCCCACCATATGGTTTGCTGCAGGGGAGATGTCTTGGCAACCCAAGAGCTCCAGTTCTGGCTGTAGGTCAATCCAGAGTGCACCACTATGGCTTTAGCTCTCCCACTTAATGATCAGATAATCAAGTTTTAATTTTATAAAATAAATATCTATTTCAAAGTATAGGGTAGCTTGGCATTTATCTGGCACATTTTCTACCCCCACCTCTTTATTTTAATTCTTATATTTATTCCCATTCTTTATTTAGGCTTAGACAGTAGGTGGCAAATTATTTAGGTAAACTAGAAAAATGGTCAGTTGTGGCAACTGACATTTAATGTGGATAAGTGCAAGATAATGCATCTTGGATGTAATATCCCAAGGGCAGAGTACAGAATATTTGATAGAGTCCTAACTTCAATGTCTGAGTTAAAAGTTTTAGAGGTAATAATTTCAGATGACTTAAAAGTAGGCAGACAGCTTAATAGAGCTGCAGGAAATGCTAGCAGAATGTTTGGTTGTATAGGGAGTTGTATTATTATTATTTATTGCCATTTATATACCGCCAACAGATTCTGTAGCGCTTTACAATATTATGAGAGGGGGTATTTATCTATAAATTGAACAATTACAAGAAAACTTACAGGAACGATAGGTTGAAGAGGACCCGGCTCAAACAAGCTCCCAGTCTAAAGGAGGTGGGGGTGTAAAACACATTAGAACAGGAAATGGCAATCAAATAGGGTGGGGGTGAAGCAGAGGTGGAGGAGAGAGTAGAGTGCTGCCCTTTAGGAGAGAGCAAGAGACTGGTATGTGAGGTAGAAGTTACTCTGGGAGGCCATAAGCTTTCCTAAAGAGATGGATTTTAGGGCACTTCTTAAATGATTGAAAACTAGGGGAGAGTCTGATGGCGGTAGGCAGGCTATTCCAAAGGAAGGGAGCTGCCCGCGAGAAGTCCTGAAAGCGTGAGTTGTCCGTACGGGTGCGAGCAGCAGAGCGGAGAGACCAAGAAGGGGCATACCTATGGATCTGTGAAGAGATGTAAGAGGGGCTAGAATTGTTCAGTGCTTAATAGCTATGGGTTAGCACTTTTAATTTAATCCTAAAGGATACCAATGTAAGGACTGACAGAGGAAAATCAGTCTGGCGGCGGTATTTAGCAGTAGAAAGACGGAAGTGCTCATGCCATTTTATAGAAGACTGTTGAGACCCCACTTGGAGTATCGTACGCAGTACTGGAGACCGTATCTCCAGAAGAATATTGACACTTTGGAGAGAGTTCAGACAAGGGCTACTAAACTGGTTAATGGATTACAGGATAAACTTAGAAGGAAAGGTTAAAGGATCTTAACATGTATAGTTTAGAGGAAAGACAAGACGGGGGGATATGATAGAAACATTTAAATACATAAAGGGAATCAACACAGTAAAGGAGGAGACTATATTTTAAAAGAAGAAAAACTACCACAACAAAAGGACATAGTCTTAAATTAGTGGGGCAAAGGTTTAAAAATATCAGGAAGTATTACTTTACTGAGAGGGTAGTGGACGCATGGAATAGTGTTCCAGCTAAAGTGGTAGAGGATAACACAGTGAAGGAGTTTAAGCATGCGTGGGATAGGCATAAGGCTATCCTAGCTATAAGATCAGGCCAGGGACAAAATGAGAGTATTTTAAAAAAAAATTTGGACAGACTCGATGGGCCAAATGGTTATCTGCCATCACATTCTATGTTTCTATGTGATACAAAGGAATTGACAGTTGACATTCATTTTAAAAAAATCATATTACATGTCATACCATAATAGATTTCTTTCATCAATACATATATCTGTTTAATAAATATTTATGGGTTTAGTTCTTGTAATAATCCTACAGCTTTATTGCCTTGTACAATTTCATTAAATGACAAAGAAATTGGTTTTGTTGCCATAACGTTGTCTTTAGTTCTACACATTATTATCTTACTGAAAAAGTTATTTGCATTATTTATCATATGGCTGCTGTAAAGCCTCCATTTCTTGATCAGAATTTTGAACTGACAAAGAATACATGCCTTGATCAGTCTCTGTATTCTACAAACCATGTTCTTCTGCAACCAACATATTAAAATGTTGTAAAGTAAAAGTAGGCCGTGGGAATAGTAATTATAAACTTTTGCTGGACTTTCCCCTTTAAGTGCACTGCCCGATACTCACAGCTCTATTATTTCTGAAACTCTGATGTTTGTAATCATTATGCATTTATTTTCATCAAATATACTGATATAAATAATGAAGTATTATCATAGTACCATATTTTATCCATTTTGTTCACGGTACTGTATGTGATATCTTGTGTAGTACTAAGTTTGACTCTGATTTCCATGGCAGTGCCTTGTTTCCAGACGTGGTCAATTGCATGCAGACTGATAATCTGGAACTGAAGAAACTGGTCTATTTGTACTTGATGAACTATGCTAAAAGCCAGCCAGACATGGCTATCATGGCTGTGAACACCTTCGTTAAGGTAAGTTTCTTTGCGTAGAATAAGGCTGAACTACCTTTTTTTTTTTCATCTATTTTACCTTTTTTATTTATTCCAGGTATTGGTGGCCATTTGCTTTCCAATTATGTAATTTTTAAGAATGTTTCAGACCTGTGATCTGTTCCAATATTTTGGATTTTCCTATTAATTTAACCAGTGCATCGGATGACGAGTTATATGGCTTAGCAAGAATGCATCTTGGCTATCCAGTTTAATCTGGGAATACAAGTTTTTGTTAATGGCCCTTTTGACATATAATTTGCACTTGTGATTCTGTAGCTGACTCTAGTCATTTTACAGAGTGAAAATGTATAAGTACCTCAATCCCACTAAACCAGTCAGAATTTCTATGGTGAAGTGTTGATTTTGATGTTTGAACATACTGGATCTGTAGAAAAACCTTAAAGTTAAGGATTTTTTAAAATTTTTATTTCAGCATGCCACCATTAAGTCCATTTTCGTTCAGGGACATCTTCAAAATGTTCTTCTAAATACCCTATGCCAGCATGAAATACTATTAATTTAGCATTGTAAATTATATTCTGGATTGTTACTTTTGTTAAAAGAGCAGTAGAACATATAATTAAGGATGTATATTATTTTGACAGCAGAGTGTCATTGGTCCTTATGGATTTGAGGATGTTATTGGATGTTTTATGACTATTTAAGTGTGTTTAATGGCTTTTTACAATCTGTACAAAGCATCCGTAAATATTATATTGCTTTACTTAGTAATAATGACCATTTCATCTTTCCATAAATAAAATATAATCTTCTTCCATCTAGTCATACATTGTGAGTTAATGAATATTTCCCTTTTCCCCAGGACTGTGAGGACCCTAACCCACTGATCCGTGCACTGGCTGTGCGCACCATGGGCTGCATCCGTGTGGACAAAATCACAGAGTACTTATGTGAGCCACTGCGCAAGTGCCTGAAGGATGAAGACCCGTATGTGCGTAAGACTGCTGCTGTCTGTGTGGCCAAACTACATGATATCAATGCTCAGCTGGTGGAAGATCAGGGTTTCCTGGACACCTTAAAAGATCTCATCTCGGATTCCAACCCAATGGTAATTGCACTTTAAGTATTTCAAGTACATCACAATGTTGGTATTTATTGTAAAAGCACTTTCCTCTTAAGGATTATTGTTAGTTGTGTATTGTTAATTTAATTCTAAATCCCCAACTCAGTCAAGCATTTTGTCATTTTCAGACATAAAATACTAGTGGCACAGGTGATAAGGACCATGTTGTGTTTACAGTCTAGTTAAAGAAACACTATAGTGTCAGGAATAAAAATACAGTTAAGACTTCCAGCCCCGCTTTGCTTTTTTTTTAAAAAGGCATGAAACTTACCTTTATTCCAACACTGTGTGTGGGTCTTGCCACAGCTGGCTCCGTCTTCTTGGCTAAAAATAAAAATTGACAATCTCATCCAATCCAATGCTTTCCCATAGGAAAGCATTAAGTGGCTATTGCTATCAATGCATCTCTATGGGGAAAATTTACATTAAAATGCCTGCAGGGATAAGCTGTAGACACCAGAACAACTACATTAAGCTGTAGTTGTTCTAGTGACTAGTGTTCCTTTAAGTGATGGCAAGCCTTGACATTGCACCACACTCTTTCATACGATAGAATGTGCAAAATAAGTATTTGCATTATTATATCCACATTCATCTGCTGTCAAGGTTAGATACCATTGGTCAGCATGATGTAATGTAGGCCATATTCAACTTAACAGTGAACAAAACTTTTCTATATAATAAAGAGGTTAAAAAAAAAAAAAACTAAACATATTTTAATGGGAAAATCTTTGAAGCAGTCTCCCTTTGAAAAGACATAATGGAGCATATCACTGTAAGTAAAAAATAAGATTTTGTAATCCGCGCCTTTTTGTTCCTTTAATTCAGTATTGCTATAAAAGTGAGTCTTTCATCCAATTCTGCTGCTTATTTTTATTTTCCTTTATTATTCCTCACCAGGTTGTGGCTAATGCAGTAGCAGCTTTATCAGAGATTGCAGAGTCACACCCAAGCAGCAATCTCTTGGACTTGAATCCTCAGTCCATCAATAAGCTATTGACAGCCTTAAATGAATGCACTGAGTGGGGTCAGATTTTCATCTTGGATTGTCTTGCTAACTATGCTCCTAAAGATGACCGTGAAGCACAGAGGTATGAAATATTTATTATTGATTACCCTGGAAGGCAATAACCATTTCAGTTCATTGAGCAGAGCGGAATTTGAATGTGGGGATACATGCCATGTGACTTCATAGTATAAAGAAATACCATGACCTTGTTTTTGCCAAAGCCTTTAGATATTTGTTTGGCTTTTAGAAGAGTAGTTATTGTCTTATTTTTAGAGCGGCAGAGAAAGTGTACATGTTCTTCAATTGTCTTTTTGAGTTAAGTAAATTACCATATTAAAGGGAAACTATAGTCCCCAAAACCACCACAGCTTAATGTAGTGGTTCTGGTGGTCACCAGAGCTGCTTCCTAGTCCAGTGCAGCACAGTGTACAGCACCTATGTACAGCGTTTCTGCAAAGAGGTGCTGAAAGGTCCTCACAGAGATGGATTGATTCAATAAATTTCTTTGAGGGGATTCTGATTGGCGCAGCATGGTTTCCAAATAGTTTCCTATGGAAAAGCATTGACTTGGCTGAGAAAAGGTACATTTAATTTCACTGCACATAGAGGGGAACTGTTCACCTAAACAGCCACTCCAAGACTATAGCCTTAGGAATACATGTTTGTATTGCTAACACTATAGTGTTCCTTTAAAATTCATATATAATCCATATATTTTATGTAAATGTATAGTTTTTATTTAAAGTGTACCTAAAAATGCAAAGATAGAAAGAATGATTAGATCATCTGTCCATCCCCACTCCTATCCATCTAAAATTGACTGACAAAGTAGAACATGAAAACCTTTCTACAGTTGGTTCAGTTGCTCTCCAGCACAGCAACCATAGTACATACAAACGATAATTTAAAAAAACTGTCCACTAAAGAGCAGAGCATTGTAAAAAGGAGTGATTAAGCTGCTTGTGACTATCGATGGGCTCAGCCTATGCCCTTCATACAGTGTACAATGATCTGGTAAGCGTGTGTACTTCAGTCCCGCTTATCTGCACCCTACCAGCCCCTGGCCAAGGTACAGTCCAATGTACCAGTCTCACAAGTCCCTAGTCATGCTGCAAATGGGACTTGGTATAGAGGCCCTCAGCCAGGCTTATTGATATCATGATGAGTAAGGGCCACCTGAGGATGTGAGTGGTAATTAAGGGGATGACCAATGTTGGACTGTGGCCCAGGAAGGCAGCGGTCTACAACAGGACCAAGCTGTTGGCTTTGAAGCATTTTATGAGGCCTTGGCTTCACCTCCAATCATGGTCTCGCCCAGTAGGCTGGAGTATAGCTGTAACGATAGACCTCTTCGTTCTTCAGCCGATTATACTCCAGAATTGCGCCCATATGTGCTCAAAGGCCCTAGTGAGACGTTTTTTGGCGACCATCTTAGTTTGCAACTCGCAGGGAGACCGCTCCGTGTAACTGTCAGATCTGGTCGGGGTGAGTGTGGTATCATCCCAGCAGGACTGGAATAACCCCCCACCAGTCCATGGGGGAGAGGGGTGGTTGGGAGCATGCTTGGTTTGTACGAGCGCGAGGAAGCGACCATCTCAGCCGCCCACAGGCCGCAACTTTGTTCCAACCTCTGGCTGCATTATTGCAAGTGTGTTTTCACAGGATCCTGATGGGTGCACAGCTTGTGTTTTTGCCCAAGAATATTGAACGATTATCAAGAAAATTGATGAGAGTTAATGTCATAGACCTGGAGTTCAAGCTCGATGTGTGTAGCCAGCTGAGCCGTCAGGCTCCACCTCCTTAAACAGGGTTATTTACTAAGCTCTGAATTTTAACAGGTTAAATCTAAATTGCACAATTAGGCAAAATTAGCTGTTCTTGAAACATTCTCCAACTCTGCTCTAGTCACTGCATAGTTATTGAAGCCTGTTTTTTTTGTTTTTGTTTTGTTTAATTTGATTTTAATTTATTAAGATAGAGTTTGGTAAAGAAACGTCCCAGTCTTGTGTGGGAAATAGAACTAATGGTAGTAATATTGTATGGTAAATTATAGAGAGAATAGGATACATAGTAGCGAAGCCTGCAGTAGGGAAACATTATAGAGATCATTATAAACCACAATACTAGCGAACAGGTTTATTTTATGAATGTCTCTAGAACCACAAGATGGCGCTGTTCTTCTCTAATACATGTTTCAGCAGTGTTCTGTATTGTTACACTTTTTTTATTTTTTTTTCTTCAGTTAGGTTAAGATTCCTTTTACTCTTACTGCAGCACTTTAAAATGCCATGGCTTTCTCAAGATAGGTGGGAGGTACACTCCAGCTTAATTCAACCCTTCTCGTTGTCTTGCTTACATACTGGGAGAAGAGCTTGAGTGAAAGTTCAATTCTCTCTTCTCACCTTCTCTAGCATCATAATTAAAGGAAGTTTAATTAACGGCAGCAACCACAAAGCTATTGCCTGGGATTGTGACTCTGGATTTGATATGTATATCACAGGGTTGAATTGAGTAGGAGCAGTCTAAATGTTGAAATACAATTTTATATATTTATATATTTATATATGGAATTGACATGCATGGCATTTTGTCTTGTCCATTTTTCTGTAGCTTGAAACTATAATTTTAGATGTAGTATACTGTCTTTGCTTTTTCTTCCTTTTATATCGTACTTTGTTGGTTAAGATTAAGGAGTTTGTAATTCCTGAGAAAATTATATTATTTTGTACTCTATCTTTTTTGTTTTAATTTTATTGTATTTTTTTTTTTTTTGTACCGGACCAGCTCTTTAGATGGAGCAATTTGTAATTTTCAATCTTATGATTCTTGTTGCCTCCATAGTATATGCGAAAGAGTGACACCACGGCTCTCACATGCAAATTCAGCTGTGGTTCTCTCTGCTGTGAAAGTTCTAATGAAATTCATGGAGCTCCTGTCCAAAGACCTGGACTACTATGGAACACTACTGAAAAAACTTGCCCCTCCACTGGTTACCCTCCTCTCTGCCGAACCTGAGCTGCAATATGTTGCACTACGCAACATCAACCTGATTGTGCAAAAACGGTGAGAATAGCACCAATTGTTTCTTTACATTAAACACCTTTTTAGACGTTCTCATAATGTGTAACTTCCAATTCTGTGCTTTCTTGCAGACCAGAGATATTAAAACATGAAATGAAGGTGTTCTTTGTGAAATATAATGACCCAATATATGTGAAACTGGAGAAGTTAGATATTATGATACGCCTAGCATCTCCTGCAAACATTGCACAGGTCAGTGTGTATACTTTACCTTCACATATATTTAGGCGAACTACGCTTTCAATTAAGAGCAGCTGATAAACCACGATGATTAATGGATCTTCAATTGTTTGCGCATATCAGATGACTCTAGGTAATGCATTATATAGTGTAAAATACAGCAAATAACACATAAGTAAATAAAACTGGCACTGGATATGCTCACTGTATGTTGTGTGTAGATCTATACAGTTTTGTGCAAAAGTTGTAGTCCTCAATAATTTATAAAAAAAAATATGAACCCTCCAACACACACTAAATGTGTACATTCATCCAAAAACACATTATTGTTGGTTGATTAATGCAGAACAGTGTAATATATGGCAGTCAAGTAATGTTAAAACATAATTCATTCAATTGTATATTTGTGTCTGAAAGTAGATTATCCACTTTTAAACAATATTTTGCCGTTTAATCCAAATAACGGATGATACAGGTAGAATGATTGAATTTCAAAACTGATTGTGTTCGTTTCTCGCAATAAATAGTATAGCTCTGTCATGGGCACGCGGCCATAGGTCGCCGGGGGAGGGGGCCACTGGCTGTCTGCATCAATTCAGAGTAGGCACCTGCCTGCCCAGAACGGCAGGAGCCTACTCTGCTTCCGTGTCGGGAGGACCAGGAAGCAGGGGGAGAGATCTAGGAAGCAGCTCTCCTGTCCTCCCGTGAGCAATCTGTGTGGATCGTTGCTGTGCATTACCATGGCAATGCTCCACACAGCATCGCGCAGGAGGACAGGAGAGCTGCTTCCTAGATCCCTCCCTCTGCTTTCTGGCCCTCCCCACAGCACAGCACCCCTGCTCCCTGCGGCTGGCACCCTGCTCCCCACAGCACAGCACAGCACAGCACCCCTGCGTCCCCCACAGCACAGCACCCCTGCCGACCCCACAGCACCGCACCCCCTGCCAGCCCCTCCACCACGCCCCAGCACAGCACCCCCTGCCGCCCGCCCCACAGCACAGCACCCCTGCAGCCCCTCCCATGGCCCCCACCTTTTGGCACCCCTGCCGCCCCACCCCCACAGCACCCAGCACCCTGCCGCCCCTCCCTTTAGCACCCTCGTGTGTGTGTGGTCGGTGTGTGGTATGTCGGGGTGTGTGTGTGTGTATATGTGATGAAACTGGCCGGTGTGTGTGTGTGTGTGTATGTGATGTGGCGGTGTGTGTGTCTTGGTCCCGGTGTGTGTGTGTGTGTATGGCGGTCGGTTATTGTGTATGTGATGCTGGTCGATTGTGTGTGAGCGGTCGGTTGTGTGTGGTGGGTGTGTGTATGTGATGGTGAGTTGTGTGTGTGTGTGTGTGTATTATTGTGTGATGGTGATTATTGTGTGTGTATGGGCCGGTGTGTGTGTGTGTGTGTGTGTATGTGGTGTGTGTGTATGTATTAGGCGGTCGGAGTGTGTGTGTGTGTGTGTGTGTGTGTGTGTGTATATATATATATGTATATATATATATATATATATATATATATATATATATATGTATATATATATATATATATATATATGTATATGTATTAAGCAGTCGGTGTGTGTGTGTGTGTGTGTGTGTGTGTGTGTGTATATATGTATGTGTATGTGTGTGTATATGTGTGTGTGTGTGTGTATATATATATGTGTGTGTGTGTATATATATTGTATTAAGCAGGCTGTGTGTGTGTATGTATGTATGTATGTATTAAGCAGGCGGTGTGTGTTCAGCAGTGTGTGTATGTATTGCATTTGTTGGAGATACTAATAAATATAAGCTGAATTTTATCTATTTATATCACTATTTAAAATTTGTATCACTGAACTCTGTTGTTCTTCTTTTAAAACAAAAGATGTTAATTAGTTCGGACAACTGTATGAGTTGTTTTTTCTTAACTTAAACCTCAGTATGCAGGTTAATTGCCGTGTTGGCACTTTGAGGGGAAAAAAGTTGGCATGTATTGTGGTTTGGGCACTCGGGCTCAAAAAGGTTTGCCATCACTGGTATAGATCCTTGCTCGTGTCTCTTACTGTTTTTTTGGACCTTTGTTGGGTTTCAAATTGAGCACTAGTTTTTATATTAAAGGGACACTTTAGTCACTAGAACTACAGCTTATTGTATTTTTTTCTGGTAAGTAGAATCATTCCCTTCAGGCTTTTTGCAGTTAACACTATTTCAGAGAAAATGCATTGTTTACATTACAGCCTAGGGATACCTCCACTGGCGGCTACTCATATGGCTACTAGAGGTGCGTCCTGGGTCTGTTCAGCACTGCCATGCTGTGTCTCCACCCTCTTCATTGAGACAGTAAACTGTCCTCATAGATTCAATGCATTTCTATGAGAAGATGCTGATTGACCAGGGCTATATTTGGCTTGTGCTTTCTCTACCCCTGATCCTGCTTTCTTAACAAGCTCAGCCAATCTAATGCTTTCCTATGTGAAAGCATTGTAATTGGCTCAGAACACCACTTCTGATGTCAGTCAAGCAGGCATATTGGGGGCAGAGCCAGCAGCTGCAGACTGGAATAAAGGCAAGATGTTGCTACATTTAGGGGGAAATGGGTGTGGAGGGGGGAGCAGGAGAGCAAGATTGTGGTTTTAACACTCTAGGGTCAGGAATACATGTTTGTGTTCCTGACCCTATAGTGTTCCTTTAAAATTTAATTAGAAGAATATTTTGTTGATTACAACTAAAAGCAGAACCTTTTATTATTCCTCCAGAATCCCCCGTGTTTTAGGTTATTTATATCCAGACAGACTTTTCATGCTGGAAACAAACATCTGATTGGCTTTGGAGAGATTAATATATTTCGTCATCTATTTCTATAGACACTCAAAGGACTGTGTGCAGGGGGTAGCACAAATCATAAATGGTAAAAGACAACAAAATTGCACTTACAGGGGCACTGTAGGCTTCTAGACCACTTCATCTCATTGAAGTGATTATCGTGTAGTGTCCCTGTCCCCATTAGCCCTACAGTGTAAAACGTTGCAGTGTTAAGACTGCCTCTAGTGGCTGTCTGGTAAGAGCTTCCTAGTTTTACAGAGTTTCACTTGGTGAAACAACGCTGGATGTCCTCAAGCTTTGCATTAGGACATCAAGCAGATTGAAAACCCCTATATGAAAGCATTGAGTCAATGCTTTCCTATGTGCAAGGTCGAATGAGCGGTGCTCGATGCACACTAGGTACCCCCCATCGGCTGAAGTTGGCAGAGGAGGAGCCAGACCCAACACTGGGCGACATCGCAGGTGAAATCAGGTTAAAGGTTTTTGTTGTGGTTGTTGTTTTGAGTTTTTTTATTTTTTTTAAACCCTTGGACTGGGCAGTGGGACATTTAGTGTCAGGAATACATCTTTGAACTCCATCTATGGCAGCGTCACTGGGGCATTATTAGTCAGCCTGAAACTAGAGTTCTGGATGGCTAATTTTAATTCTGTATTGTGTACTTAATTTTTTTATTCATCTCAACATTCAGGTTCTAGCAGAACTTAAGGAATATGCCACAGAGGTTGACGTTGATTTTGTCCGAAAAGCTGTGAGAGCGATTGGGCGCTGTGCGATTAAAGTGGAGGTAATGGATGCCAGTCTATTACATTTTAAGCTCCAGTCTAGTAATTTATACCGTGAAGAAAAATACACTGTGATAACCAGCGTGCTCCTCTTCTCCCCACAGCAATCTGCCGAGCGTTGTGTTAGCACTCTGCTGGACCTTATCCAAACCAAAGTGAATTATGTTGTACAGGAAGCCATTGTTGTTATTAAGGACATTTTCAGGAAGTACCCTAACAAGTAGGAGTTCTTTTTACCTCAATTTCCTCAAGCAATTTTTTTTTTTTTTCCCTTATAGGCTATAGGCTCTAGAATGTTTAACCTAATTCTGATTGTAACTATATATGTTTAGCATGTAATGTTGGGAAGTAATATTTTAGTCTAGTCACCTGTAGCTTTTGTAAAAAGTACACAATTTGTTTTATATACATAGCAAAAATATTTTAAGGCTCGTCTTGAAAGTATATGGGGATTTATTCAAACATGGCATTATTGTGGTTAGCCCGCCACTTCAACATGGTAGCCTTTAAACTAACTAGTTCACCCTCCCTGTCCTTTAAGGTATGAGAGTGTCATCTCAACATTGTGTGAGAATCTGGACTCACTTGATGAGCCCGAAGCCAGGGCTGCCATGATCTGGATTGTTGGGGAGTATGCAGAGCGTATTGACAATGCTGATGAGCTGCTTGAGAGCTTCCTGGAGGGTTTCCACGATGAGAGCACACAGGTGAGTTATGTAACTGCTGTCCATATATGGAAGCAAAAACGCAGTACATAGTTGGTGATGGTTTTTTAATGTGTATATGTGTATCATCTGCTCTCCTGGTTATGAACACTGTATATCTGCAAAGATGAATATGTTTAAGTTGTTGTGCTGGAGCATTTTAGTTATAAAGAAAGGTTAACAAATGTAAATCTGTTTAATTTAGAAAAATGGCACCTAAGAGGGGGTATGATGGAATTATACAAATATATTCAGGGCCAATACAAACCATTGTGTGGAAATCTATTCATAAACTGGACTATAAATTGGACACAAGTCATGCATTTAGACTGGAAGAAAGGAGATTTAGTGTAAGGCATAGGAAAATGTTTTTTAGAGTAAGGGCAAGACGTTCAATAAATTCTGATAGCCGAAAGTTATGCCCAACCATGCAAATTGACTAGGTTTATAGAATTTTTATAAACCTTTATTACATGCTTTTCATTGTTTGTTTATTTTTTTTTTTCTTGTTTTATTTTGGTTTGTATATTTGGTTAAAAGAGTTTACTTGCTGGATTAAAAAAAATATTGTCAAGTAATGCATGTCTCTTTTAGTGCATGGTTGCTAGAATAAACCTTCTGTTATATAAAGAATGCCCTGGATATGTAGCTGACTTTGTCTATTATTATTCTCTACAATCCCATTTCTAACTCTTGCAAGTGTAGCAGATATATAAATATGTGTGCATGTATTTGTAAATATATTATTTTATTATATAAGATTTTCAGTATATTAGAGGAAATTGCACTCTTATAAAAAGCTAGGTAAAACTTGGATTGTGTGTGCAGTGAATGCCATATATTAAGTATGTTGGAATCATTAGAATTTACAGTTGAACATAATTTTTCTTTCTTTTTATTCTTCTTCAGGTTCAGTTGCAACTTCTGACAGCTATTGTGAAGCTGTTCTTGAAGAAGCCAACCGAAACACAGGAATTGGTGCAACAAGTGCTAAGCTTGGCAACACAGGTGTGTATGAAAAATCTTAATTATGTGTCGGTGTCTTTCGATGACAAAGTGGGTTATATTTAACTGATCAGTGGAGACAGAAAGTAGGTAGAACTACTTATTTGTGTCCTGTATCCATTTTCAGTATGTTAGGGATAATTGCATTCCTATAAATAGCTGGCTAAAACTTGGAAATATGTGTTTTTATGTGCTTTTAGACTCCCTGCACTAATTTGAGTTTAAGAGAAAGTAGATAAGAAAATATGTAGCACTGCATGGATTTACCAAGGTGTGTAATTGTGGGATAAATTCTTGTGAATCCTGACAGTTAAGGTATTCTATAGTGCCAGGAAAACAAACCGTTACAATTAGACATTTCTGGTAGTAATAGTATCTCAACCAGAAGGTTTTCAATAATGTTTTTGTAATAGCTTTCCAGTAAATGCCCCACTCTTCCCTTTTTTTTTTTTTTTTTAAAGAAATCAGTTCCTAGAGGTACTGAGGCTTAATGAGTTGTAGTTAGACTTTATTTGAACTATTTTTATATAGTTAGCATTTTGGTGCATTTTTTTCTTTAAGAAACATTCTCAGTACAAAGCAAAACAAGTTTAATACATCAACCATTTACAAATGACAACTATACAAAACAGAAAAGGAAAAGTATGGAGTAGGGAGACCACCTGTGATGTACCCAGTTTGTCCTACATGCAAAGATAATGTGATCAACTGTGGATGTAATTTGGCCAAGAATCCCAGGTTCTAAAAAATATTGCATACTTTTGCGGTCAGATTATCCATCAGATAATTATGTTCCATTTTAGCAAACACAAATAATAACCATCAGCCAGCCTGCTATTAATTCCTCAGATTACTAGTACATTTTTCATTAAATAGTGATTGATGGTTCCCCTGTCCCCACCCCCATAATCTAAACTGTTGATGCTTGATATGCAAGCATTTCATTGTTTTTGTCTTCTACAGGATTCAGATAATCCAGATCTTCGTGACCGTGGCTACATTTACTGGAGGTTGCTCTCAACAGACCCAGTTGCTGCAAAGGAAGTGGTACTGGCAGAGAAGCCACTGATCTCTGAAGAGACAGACCTCATCGAGCCCACTCTTCTTGAGGAGCTGATCTGTTACATTGGGACTCTGGCATCCGTTTATCACAAGCCTCCAAGCGCCTTTGTGGAGGGGAGTCGAGGAATTGTTCCGAAGAGATTACCTCCACGGACAGGCTCGTGAGTATTTTGCTGAAAGATTAATTACTTGCACTACTTCTTATGCTTCTTACATGCAGGCATCCTCTCTGTACATGGCAGCATTAGTGGTTCATTCTTCTTTTTAGAAGTGATACAGTTTTCTGTCTTGAACATTCTAATGACATATTATTATTTTAATTCAAGAATGCTACAGTTGGATGGTATTTTCTATATTTGCTTTAGGTATTGTTTGTTGGCTCTTCTTGCTACTGGAAACTCTTTTGGTTTTATGTTTGTGTATTCTGTCTATGACAAGTTATTTATTATTAACGTGTAGTAAATCCGTTATCTGTAATCTGTCTAAATGTAATGTATAGTTAAAATGCTTGAGAGAACCTGGTGATTTCCAAAACCAGTATCCCGTATACAAGTGGCTCCTTTTTATCAGCTGGTCTATGGGGTACCCAGTCAATCTTCATCTGATGATTAGTGTTCCACTAAAGAGTGTAAGAGCAGTGAGCACGGAATCCCCCAGTCGCAAAGCATAGTGTTAAAAAAACAAAAAACAAAACATAACTCTCTTTTTGTAAACCAATACAGAAATATGCATTAAGACTAACCTACTTATCCACTATTGATAATCATATAAACCCTTTTGGTGGAAATGTCTTTGGGATAATACTTTGAGTACTTATTCTCTTCTTCATATGGAGGTAGACTACAAAAACATGCTAGTGGAAATTATGAAGCCTGACTTGTATGCTTTTAAATTTTATCTTTGTTGTGCCCTGTTGATGGCTGTATATGAACTGAATAAAGTACTCTTGCTTTTTGCAGTTATCCTAAAGTAATATGTCAATATGTCAAGTAGGTGCCCAAAGCTACACATTGGAAACATTCCTCTTCATATTTGGAAATTGTCTTTAGATGTTACTGAGAAAGATATTTTGCCTCTATTTGTATAGAATTAATAATTTTTTATTGCTCCCCCCCCTTTTCAATATTTAAGTTTATAATTTGTACCTTTCCCACAGCAGTGAGAGTGCGGAGAGCCCAGAAGTTGTCCCTGTAGGAGCTCCACCTACTGAGACACATGCTTCTGTTATCCCATCACAGGGTGATTTGTTGGGTGATCTCTTAAACCTGGATCTTGCTCCACCCATCACCGGACCACCACTAACCACAAGCACTGTGCCGTTGGCAGGTGTAGATCTTTTAAGTGGTGGCCTCGACAGTCTGGTATGTAATATGTGTAGATCAGTGTTAATATGCTTGAGTGGAGAATGGGGCATGGTTCTACTGTATTTTCGATAACCACAAAGGGAAGAGAAGGGCTACGAAACAATGAGGTAGAACTTACGGCAAACAACCTATAATGTGGGAAGCCTTGTTATCACCACCAAAATAACAACATGAAAATAACAATGTAGTTGCTCCAAAAGAAACAAATGGTAAATGACTATCTAGGTTGACAAACTAGAACTGCAACAAAATATAGTGATGAACAGTCTGTAATAAAGAACTAGACGTAGGTTCCTCACTTGAATTATCTTGTAATGGTGTAAACAAATGGGCAGATGGGCTTATTTAGATAAATCAACAAATGTGTATATGTGTGTGTCTGTACAAATGCGTGCAGTAATATTTCCATGGTGGAAACATGCATCATCTCTTAACGTCTTAGTTTATTGTTCTTTGTTTTTAATTTATACCATCAATTTATTATGAAGTATGGAACTACATGGTATTGAACTTTTTTTTTTTTCTGCTTTCAAATAAGGCTTAATATCTATTATTAGTGCATCTCTCCTAAAATCTTCCCTTGCTGTTCCCCTTACTTCCCTTTACTTTTTCTTTTTCCCCCTCTCTCAATGTTCTTTCTTGCGCTGTCGCTGGCTGTCTCCTACTGCGGCTTTTGTGTGTGTCTCTCTGCCTCTACTTTGACTGCCTTCGCCCTGCATCCCCTCTCACTTGCTTCAAGATTGTGGAAGATACAGAAGGGGTATGCCACGGGTGACTTTTTTTATTAAAAATTGCATGGTTTCTGGGGGTCTCAGTCCTCCATTACGGACACATCTTTTGAGAGCTTCATCAGACTGGCAATCACAGTTATTGACATTACATTCATTAGTGATCTTCACTCAGCAAATGTACCTATCAGGTAGCAATGTGAACCAAAGCTAAAGTCTTATTTTTAAAATGACTTATTGAACAGCTCCTCCTCACCTCTACATTTGATGCTCTTCCTTTTTTTTTTTCTTTTAATATATCTCTACAGTTGGGAGGAGACACAAGTGCGGGCCTACCTGTAAGTATCTGTCATGTACCCAACTCCTACAGTGATTATTTGGTGGGTCACTGCATCTAATGTACTGTTAATCTTCCAATGATCTTATTTCTTCTTCTTAAACTCAGTTGATTCCATGTTGACATAATTAGAAAAATAAGAGGCAGGCGATTGTAGATTATCAGGTGCATGTCATTCTACTTAAATGATCATTTGGGGACATCTCCATCAAAATTGATCATATAAGACAAAAAAGCACTTTGTACGCTCTCAGTAAGCCAATGGTTGTGAGCATTATTCCAGCCATACCCCATCTAAAAACCATTTTTCATAGTAGTGTTCATCTCCACATTTATAACACCTTTTGTTTTGACAAGTTAGCTTTTCGTTTTACCAACCTAAGATTGTAATACAGAGGTTTTGCTGAATTGTAGATCTAAAAAAATGTCGTAAACTCTAAAATACCATTAGAGCTTTATTCATTCAACAGCTAAGAACAATGGGAAAACTGTCACTGTTTATAAATGTATAATATACAGCACAATTGAATGTTGCTTATAAGCCAGTGCCTTACTTGTTGTGTTAACCAAGCTTTCCAAGTACCGTATATACAAAAGTATAAGACTAGTTTTTCGGCACATTTTTATTGTGCTGAAAAACCCCCACTCGACTTATACTCGAGTCAATGTCTGTATTATGGCAACTTACATTGCCATAATACAGACCAGGACCGCCGGGCTCATTACAAGTCTGGCGGTCCTGTTGGGGGCTGGCAGCGAGCTGTTACTTACGTTTCCTGCAGCTCCTGTCAGCTCCCTTCTCCTCCGTGCCGTTCAGCTCCACTGTAGTCTCGGAGAGCTGCGCAGAGTGTTGCCAAGGTTGCCGTAAGTACCTCGCCGCACTCAGACCGCTAAAGATTTACACTGGAGCTGACCGCACGGGAGGAGAAAGAGAGCTGACAGGAGCTGCAGAAAGGTGGGGTAACAGCTCGCTGCCAGTCCCCCTCCTGCACAGCCTATATCCACTGGACCACCAGGGAATAATATAGCTTGATACATGCAATAGGAGAGGGGACAAAAAATAAAATAGAAAAATGTAAATAATAATATAATTAAAAATGTAATAATAAAATATATTTTTTTAATAATATTAAAAATAAAATTTAATATTATAATAAAAATAAAAAATGCACACCCCCTCCATGGTTACACACTCTGCATTCTGGTGGCCACAAACTCACTCTGCATTCTATATATACACAAAACCTCACTCATGCCTCTATACACATTATTATTCTCTCACTCTGCATTCTATACACACACACTCTCTCACTCTGCATTCTATACACACACACTCTCTCACTCTGCATTCTATACACACACACTCTCACTCTGCATTCTATACACACACTCACTCTGCATTCTATACACACACACACACTCTGCATTCTATACACACACACACACACACACACACACACTCTGCATTCTATACACACACACACACACTCTCCTCACCTTGGCATTCTATACACACACACACACACACTCCTCTCACCTGCATTCTATACACACCCCTCTCACTTCCGTATCTCTATACACACACACACTCTCACCATGGCCTACACACACACACTTCTCACTCTGTACTCTAAATACACACACACTCTCACTCTGCATTTCTATACACACACTCACTCTCTCCAGCCCTATACACACACACACACACTCTGCATTCTATACACACACACACACACACACACACACACTCTGCATTCTATACACACACACACACTCTGCATTCTATACACACACACACTCTGCATTCTATACACACACACACTCTGCATTCTATATATATACACACACACACACACACACACACTCTGCATTCTATATACACACACTGCATTCTATACATACACACACACACACTATGCATTATATACACACACACTCTGCATTATATATACACACACACACACACACACACACACACTATGCATTATATACACACACTGTAAATAAATATTCAATTAATATAATTTTTTTGGGGATCTAATTTTATTTAGAAATTTACCAGTAGCTGCTGCATTTCCCACTCTAGTCTTATACTCAAGTCAATAAGTTTTTGGGGGTAAAATTAAGGGCCATGACTTATATTTGGGTCGACTAATACTCGCGTATATACGGTATGTTTCCTTTAGATTTGTATAATCCCTTGCATGACTCTTGTATCTTGTAATGAATATAATAATCAATGTATCTACATACATGTTGCTCTTGACTCATTGCATTCTTCCTTGTTCAGATCAATTCTGGTTTTGCTGCACCATTGGTGGGTCCTGCTAGCCTTGCCCCTCCTATCTCTGGAGGTCTTGGTGATCTCTTTGATTTGGGCCCTGGAACGGGTATGGTGACCGGATCCTTTGTGCCTCCAAAATCTGTAAGTGTCTATGCCTTCGTATTTTCATATATACTATTCAGTGCCTTGTTTCAACTGGATGTAACCATTTAAGGAGTCCTATTTCCTAATCGTTTATTTTTAGACTACAATTAGATTGTATATGTTTAATCATGTACTTCACATTGGTATATCTTAACATTTCTTAGTTGTTTAAGCTTTTTACTTGGCCTTGAAATATACTTTTTATCTGTGTTGGACATAATGAGTTTGATTGATAGAGACTTGACTAATGGCTCAGTTCAATAAAACACAGTACTCCTTAATTACTGTAGCGGTTACGGCACCCAAGAAATACAGGAAGTTGCCACAGCACGGATGTTTGAACTATACCTTCTCTTAAAACCTGCTTGTGGTCTGCTTTTTCATCACCCATTGGTAAAGACTACATTTCACTAAAACTTCCAAAATAAGGGATGAAGTTACAGGACTGGGGGCTATAAATAATTAAGCAACAGTCAGGTAGAGAGCAATGTATAAATGCCCAGACAAAGAAATACGACACTGCTTGATCCGTAAAGTGGATCTAAATTCTATTGACAAAACAGGCTTTGACTGATACAACATCAGGGTATAATCGCTTGTGCTCAAAAGGCTATCTGCAGTCTCTAACGTTAGTACAGTTACAGCAAGAAAGGGCATCAACGTATTTCATCCTTTTAAAAATTTCCTTTTGATTTCACCCTGAAACAATATGAGCCTGGTTTATAAACTGAAATAAAGATGAAGCATTCCTGTATTACGTATGTTATATGTGTTGAGTATATCTGGTTACAAACAGTTTACTCCAGACTAAAATGTTATTCTAAGCATATTACTGATGTTTCTCTCCAAGGTATGGCTGCATGCAATGAAGGGAAAAGGCCTGGAAATTAGCGGCACATTTGCACGAAGATCTGGATCAGTTTTCATGGATCTGCAGTTCACCAATCGCGCACTTCAAGTTATGAGTGATTTTGCCATTCAATTCAACCGTAACAGGTACATAATGGACCATACCACAATTTAGTAATACAGAATTACTTGTGTTTTTCTTATCCTTTAATTATGTATTAATCTTGGCAGTTTTGGTCTGGCGCCTGCTGCTCCACTTCAGATACCAACTCCCTTAGCACCCAACCAGTCCACAGACATCTCCCTCCCTCTAAACACTATTGGGTCTGTCATGAAAATGGAACCTCTAAACAACCTTCAGGTACAAAGTGTTGTTTTGTTTTGTTACTTTTAATGTCCATAGTATATTTATATACATTTGTTTTATCTCTCTATATTCTGCAATATATGTGCCTATCTTTGTAACTTTATGCTTTGGTATACTATATAATTTGACCTTGTAGGCTCACAATAGCATTTTATGACCTTTAGCTGATATTGTGATATTTCAAAGCAATCCAAATCTAAATTTTGTCAACCACTTAAAATCCTCTAATAGTCTCAAAGTGTAAAACATCTAAAAGGAACATTATATGGGCAGGAATGCAAAAGTGTATTCCTGACACTATATAGTGCTAAAAACACTATTTAATATACCATTTTGGCATGGATTATTTTTTAGAAAATTTCCCATCCTTTTAGGTATTAAATTTGCCAAGTGCTCAATGGCCCTTTGAAAGTGTTAACTCATCTTCATAATGGCAATGATTTTAAGTGTATGGACATGAGCTGTTCAGTTGTTATTTACATAATAGAATCACATGATCACTATCTATTCTGTAAATAGCATCTATTAGCAATTGTCATTTTCTCTGTGGATTAAGCACTAATATTATCCCTAATGTAATTTTATTTTTATTGTAGCTTATTATAGCTTAAATTTCTAACCTACAAATTTTTTTTGCCATTTTTGTGTCCTTATGGCTTATTGGCATACTAACCAGTCAGATAAGATTCACTCAGATTAGCTTTATATCTTCCCTTATTAGTGCAGATTATTCCAGTGATGGATGCTGTAACCCAATCAGTTGGCCTTTATCTTTGCTTATCGTATCAAAAAGAATCTTTGCCAAGTAACTGGAAGAGTAGCCTTTGTACTGTCTTGCAATTTATCTTCCGTTCTATCCTATTCATACATTTTCTATTCTTCCATAGCATCATTTCTAAATACACTAGTCTAACATTCTGTCATCTCTTTAATTTGACATCAACATCCATCTCTTAGATTCACTTACCCACTCCATTATTGTTAATTATACTTTTAAATATGCAGGTTGTTTATCAGCCACTAATTTATTTCTACATATTAACATAATAAATAACTTCTTTACTAACTAACTCGTATGTATATGCCTTGTGATTATCCTCTGCAGGTTGCAGTGAAAAACAATATTGACGTTTTCTACTTTAGTGTTGTGTATCCTCTACACATCCTGTTTGCTGAAGATGGGAAAATGGGTGAGTGTGGTTTTATTATACTTGTATAGGCTGAAAAAAACGTATGTCCATCAGGTTCAACCTGTTTTTATTATTTATCCGAAAGAAAGCAAAAAAAAAAAAAAAAAGTTTGAAGTGGTTTCCAGTTTTGCAACAAACTAGGAAAAATTCATTCTTGAACCCAGAATGCAATCAGATCTCTCCTTGGATCAAGATGCTGTTACTTGGCATATTAAAAATGAAATCCCTTAATAGTATAATTTTATTTTGCAAGAATTCATCAAGCTGCTATTTAAAAATCTGTACAGAGGCTGGAAAAAAAAACACCTCTTCAGCAGAGAATTCCACATCCTTATAGTTCTTACTGTAAAAAAACAACTTTCCTTTGCATTAGATTAAATCTCCATTCTTCCCATCTAAATGCATGATCTTGTGTCATATGTATAGTCCTGTCTATAAATAGTTTTCCAGACAATGGTTTGCATTGGTCACGAATATTTTTATAAAATACTTTGATATACCCATCGAGGCGCAGTTTTTTTCCAAAATAAAGCCATGGGCAGAGTATAGAATATTTGATAAAGTACTAACCTCAACTTCTGAGGAAAGGTATTTAGGGGTAATTTCAGATGATTTAAAGGTAGGCAGGCAGTGTAATAGAGCAGCAGGAAATTCTAGCAGAATGCTTGGTTGTGTAGGGAGAGGTAATAGCAGTAGAAAGAGGGAAGTGCTCATGCCATTGTACAGAACACTGGTGAGACCTCACTTGGAGTATTGTACGCAGTACTGGAGACCGTATCTCCAGAAGGATATTGATACTTGGAGGGAGTTTAGAGAAGGGCTACTAAACTTGGGTTACGGATTACAGGATAAAACTTACAAGGAAAGGTTAAAGGATCTTAACATGTACAGCTTGGAGGAAAGATTAGACAAGCTGGATATGACCGAAATATTTAAATACATAAAGGAAATCAACACCTTATAGGAGCAGACTATATTTAAATAAAGGAAAAATACAACAACAAGAGGACATAGTCTTAAATTAGTGGGGCAAACGTTTAAAAATCATATCAGGAAGTATTAATTTACTGAAATGGTAGTGGATGCATGGGATAGCCTTCCAGCTGAAGTGGTAGTGGTTAACACCGTGAAGGAGTTTAAGCATGTGTGGGATAGGCGTAAGGATATCTTAACTATAAGATAAGGCCAGGGACTAATGAAAGTATTTAGATAATTGGGTGTAAATTGCTTGTGTGTTTTTGTTTTTTCACCCTTAAATGCATAACTTTGCATTTATCTACATTCAATTTAATCTGCCATTTGAGTGCCCAGTCCCATAATCCATCTATATCCTTCTGCAGCAAAGTCATGTGATGCTTCATTCCACACCTATCTTCCCATAAGATGAGGTGTGCAGTATCAATGTTACATCTGTGTGGTTGAGTAATTGTTCACGTTCTCATATAACGTGCTACTGTGAATAATTATTTTTAATGCTCTGCTTTTCATTTCTTTTTGAATTTCTATTCTCTTCCAGAGCGACAAATGTTTTTGGCCACTTGGAAGGAGATTCCTAATGAAAATGAAGCTCAGTTTCAAATTAGGGACTGTCCTCTAAACTCAGGTAAGTCCATATTTACAGTGTGCAGTACAGATATGGGTATTGTTTAGCCATGCTGTGACACATCAAGAGGAAAGGACAATAAACACACTCTTGTGCGTGTTTTTTTCCCATTGGTCATACAATTTAGTTGACTGAGAGAATCTGAATGTTATTATTTATATAGTGCCAACAAATTCTGCAGCGCTGTACAAGAACAGCAATTGGTATAATTTTTGTGATTTATAACAAATCACATTGTATTCTATATTTTAGCATTTGCAGATGAAAAGGTTTGCCTTCAAATATAAATATATATATATTTGTTATTTATCATGGATTGTGATTTATTTCTTTATTCCACAGATGCTGTCAGTAATAAGCTGCAAGCCAGTGACATCTTCACAGTGGCCCGACGCACAGTGGAAGGGCAAGACATGTTGTATCAATCCATAAAACTCACAAATGGTATCTGGGTATTGGCGGAGCTGCGAATGCAATCTGGAAGCTCTAACTTAGCAGTAAGATTATGTTTCTTTCCATTACTTATATAGCAACCCAGTATCTTGTCTTAATAGATATGTAGAAAAAAAGAGAGATTCTGAAACCTTGTTTTATAGGCTGGACCAGCAGTTCCCAAACTGTGTGCCAGGTGTCGCAAAATGTTTCTCCAATGCTATGATCGCACTGGAAAACGTTTCTGCTTAACAGGGGCCCGGTCAGGTGCTGTTTCCCTTTAAGACCGCAGCCGAACTAGTGTAGTGTCGACAGGCTGGGAGGAAGTGACAGCCAGTCTCTTCCTTCCAGCTTTGTGCAGGTTGGGAGGGAGAGGAGGCAGCTGCAGAGGCAGCATGAGGGGGGAGAGAAGGAGCACAAAGAGCTGCTCCAGAACTCTCGATCCCAGCAGCCTGAACAGAACTACAAGCAAGCCACCCTCTTGAACACACAAGGTAAGCTAATAGGAAGGTGTCTGTAGATATAAAAAAACATCATAAACATGCTTGTGTTTGTGTGTATATGTCAATATGTGCATCTGTGTCCGTGTGTATGCGAACACATCTGTGTGTCAGGATGTACATATGTGTATATGTATGTCTATGTATGTATCTGTTTGTCATGGGGTGTGTGTGTGTGTATATTTTGGAGTATGTATGTGCCAGGCTATTTGTGTTAATGTTTATGTATATCTTTGTGGCAGTGCATGTGCATACATCAAGCAATCAAACACCAGCACAACATACAAACACACTCCTGCAATCTAACACAAATATTATATACAAACACACCCCTTCAATCAAATACCGTTACAACACACTAATGTACGTCCGTATTTAAAAGCGAACATTACATTAAAACACACCTGCAATCAAACGCATACATTACATATAAATACACCCCTGTATTAAAGCACTAAAAGTATATACAAGCACCCCTTCAATCAAACACCAACTCTATACATTATACAAGAGCGCCAGTATATGCTGCACTCTACAGTTACACAACTTTTAAATATTTTTTTGTAAATTTTAAATATTAAAGGTGCTTTTGTTGATCATAGTGGTTAGTTGGGGTGTATTCTGATTGCCCCATTGTTCTGCTATTGTCCGTCTGGTGGCTAACGCTAGTCTGGCCACCAGTTTATTCTGCGCTCTGGTGGGGGTGGGGGTGAGGTTTAGAGAGCAGCCATATCCAGGGGTCTCTTGGTATGTCTGTTTCTAATATGTCAGACGCGAGCGTGACCGCTCTTTACCATATTTGTAGGACCTGGGGACGTTCCCACCAGAGGTAGATGTATGTGCCCTTCTGTGTGCAGCCTTTCCAGCATGTATCTGTGGTGGCGAGGCCCACTTGTTTCAGCCTGAGTGGCGTGAGGTACCATCTGAGTAGGGTTTTATAGGCTTGCTCTATATGGTTAACGCAAATGGTAAGCAAAGCCGTGGCTTCCCATATGTCTGCCCAGTCTGCAGGGGGGCCTATATCTCTTTCCCAGGCCTTGGTGTAGATGAAGGCATCGTCTGGGGAGTGTGAGTTTAAGAGTGAGTATATTTTTGTGATTTGTCCTTTCTGTCTGGGTGCGTGGAGGCATGTTTTTTCGATTTGCGTTGGTTTGGTGGTGGCGGCTGCTCTATTTTGTGGTTCATTGAGAAAGCTGCGAATCTGTATGTAGCGAAAGTGGTCGAATGTGGTCAGGGTCTGTTTGTTTGGGGAGGTCCTGGAAGGGGCAGAGTTGTTGGTCTTGGAAAAAGTGGAGGAATCGGAACAGTCCGTTGTCCTCAAATCGTGAGAAGTCTTTGGGAGTAAGGCCTGGGGGAAATTGCTTATTTCTTAGAATAGGTGTGAGGGGTGATGGTGTGTTTATTATGGGATGTTTTGATGTGATGTCGTCCCATATGAGAAAAGATGTGGTTAGTGTAGGAGTAGTTTGTGGGGTGGGTGGTCTATCTTTCTTGGGTAGCCAAAAAAGTAGTGATGGGTGGTCTCGTTCCAGGAGGTCATGCTCTAGGTCTACCCAGAGTTTGAGTCCCGGTGGTGCATGTAGCTGTTGTATTTGGGCCAATTGGGCTGCTTGGTAGTAGTGGTAGAAGTTTGGGAGACCCAGGCCTCCTGTTTTTGTGGTTTCGTACATTGTGGATCTTTTTATGCGAGGTCTCCTGTTTGACCATATAAATTTGTATATATGTATTTGGATCGTTTTAAAGTCGTGTTTGGAAATAGGTATTGGTAGTGTTTGGAAGAGATAGAGAAGTCGGGGGCGGAGATTCATTTTTATTGAGGCTATGCGCCCTATCCAAGATATGGACATGGGTCCCCATTTTTGCAGGTCCAGTTGTGCTTGGCGGAGTAGTGGTGTGTAGTTCAGGGCATATATTGTGTTCAGGTCTGCCGGAAGATTTGTTCCTAGGTAGCGTATATTGCTTAGGTTGTATTTAAATGGGTGGGCTAGTTGTAGTTGTTCCAGAGTGTGTTGTGGTATTGCTATTGGGAGGGCCTCTGTTTTCTCCAGGTTGAGTTTATATCCCGAGAGGGTTGCGTATTGTTGAAGTGTTAGTAGGGGTGGTAAAGAATGGGTGGGGTCCGAAAGTGTGAGGAGGATGTCGTCCGCATATGCCGCTATTTTGTATTCTTCTGACCTTATCTTAATGCCCTGTATCATCTGTTTGTTTCGTATGTTTTGAAGGAGAGGTTCAAGCGAGAGGGTGAATAAGAGTGGGGAGAGTGGGCAGCCTTGTCTTGTCCCGTTTTTGATTACAAATTCTGGGTGTTTGGTGTTGGGGATGAGAAGTGTGGCCGTGGGTTGGTCATAGAGGGCTCTTAGGGCGTCTAGGAAGGGAGTCAGGAATTTGAATTTGTGGAGGGTGGCAAACCGGAATGGCCAGAGTAATCGGTCGAATGCTTTTTTGGCATCCATTGATAGGAGGAGGGTTGGGGTCTGTCTTCTGTGTACCACCCAAATCAGGTTGAGTGCTTGTATCGTGTTGTCTGCTGCCTGTCTTGTGGGGGTGAAGCCCACCTGGTCAGGGTGTATTAATTTCGGTAGGAGTAGTTGGATCTGGTTGGCTAGGGTTTTAGTGATTATTTTGGTGTCTACGTTAAGTAGAGAGATGGGTCTAAAGTGGCCTGGGTCTAGGTGTGTTTTGTCCGGTTGTGGGATGAGGCAGATGTTTGTTCTGAGCATTTCCTTTGGGAGTGGGTTTCCTTGGAGGAGTGAGTTCCCTAGTGCTGTGAGGTATGGTATTAGTGTGTTTGCGTATGTCTTATAGTAGAGGCCTGTGAATCCATCTGGTCCTGGGCTTTTGCTGGGTTTAATAGTTTTTAGTGTGTTTGCTATTTCCTCTGTTGTGATAGGGGCAGATAATTTTTCTATCGCCGTGTTTGTTAGTGATGGGAGAGGGGTGTTCCGGAGGTATGTCTCGATGTCGTGTGTTAGGGTTGGCGATGGATCAGGATTGTGATTATAAAGTGTTGTGAAGTATTGGGAGAAAATCCTCGCTATGCGATCCGGACTTTCGTGTGTGTTTCCTCCCGGGGAGATTATTTTGGTGATGCGTTTATTGTGTGTTTTTTGGCGTAGTTTGCGGGCTAAGAGGGTGTCTGCCTTATTTGATTTCTCGTAGAAGAGTTGTTTGCTCCATTGGAGGGCTCTTTGTGAGTCTTTAGCCATGTAGGATTTAATGACTTGTTGGTGAGTTTTGATCTGTGTTAAAATTGGTGGGGTTGGGTGTTGTTTGTGTTGAATCTCTAGGGTCCTTAGCGAAAAGAGGTGGTCCTTCAGTTCCTTTAGTTTTTGGTTTTTGTGTTTCGTGGCTTCAGCTATCAATTTGCCTCTTATGGTCGCTTTGTGTGCTGCCCATAATATGCCTGTAGATTCTACTGAGTCCTTGTTTAATTGGAAGTACTCTGTGAGCGTCGTTTGAATGGACTTATTTCGGGGGTATGTGTTGGGTGTTGGGTTTAGTCGCCATGACCATGTTCTAGCTGTTTGTGGGATTGAGAGTATTAGGGATATCTCTGCGTGGTCGGACCACGTGATCGTACCTATAGTTGTTGTAATGTCTTGGGTTAGGAGGGAAGGGGATATCAGGAACATATCAATCCTAGAGTAGGAGAGATGAGGGTGGGAGTAAAAAGTGAAGTCAAGAGTTGTGGGATTTTGCATTCTCCAGATGTCTTGGAGACCTGAGTGTTTCTATGTTTCTATGAGTGGAGTACAAAGTTCGAGAGTAGTTTGTCTATTCTGGCCACTGGGGCTGTTTTGCCATCTGTGAGTTCCTTGCTGTCCTGTTATAGTGAGGAATCTACCCTGAGGGTCAGCTGTGGTATTTGTGAAGCTGATGGGGCATGTGTTCCGGACGAGTATCGCTACGCCGTTATGTTTTCCGGTCGGGGAGTTTGCTAAGTGACATTCTTTGTAGTGTCTGTTTTTAAGTGGGAATGGTCTTGGGTCTCAAAGTGTGTTTCCTGGAGGAGTATTATATCCGCTCCTGTTCTGTTGGCCCATCGCATCAGCTGGTGGCGTTTAGCCGGGTTGTTTAGGCCTTTGCAGTTAAGTGAGATGCATTTCATTGTTTTCATATTCGCTATGGGTGTGGCCCTGTTTAGTTGTTCAGTGTGTGGAGGACCCGGGGTTTCTCGCCCTTTAGGGTGAGTGGTTCGAGGAGGAGGGTTTGTGGAGGGTAGGCTAGGAGCAGGGAGTATGGGGTTTTAGTGTCTGAAAAGGGGGGGAGGAAGGGTTGTCGGTGTGCCCTGGTCTTACTATTGGATCGCCAGGTGGTGTTGGGGGGTTGTATGTGGTGCCTTTGGGGTTGGGGTAAGTGTGGTGTGGTCCTCTTGTGGGGGGTACTGTGGGTTGTGGTGAGGGAGAGAGGAGGAAGGTCTTTCACATTCCCGTCACCCTCTCTCCCCCTGCACAATTGCCAGTGTATCACTCACGGTTGGTCGGTGGATTCTTAGTTGGTTCGTTGTGCCTATTCTTATGGTAGTTTGTGGTTTGTTGGTACGAGGTAAGATGTTCCATTTCTGGCTTTATTTCTTTTGTGTCGTATGGAAGTTTGTATCGTCACTTGTGAGGTTCGCTTAGGAGAGAAAAAAAAACATTTTAACATATATACAAGGAAAACATTAACATTATGTAAGATCGGTGGTTTTTGCCCCAGTTGCACCTGTTTGTCGACTTTCAAGGAAGTTTCCTGGTTAGGTGCCTAGATCTGCCCTATGTGGGTTTTCTCTTAGTTCTTCTCCCCCCTCCCCCCTTCTGTGTTACTGTCTGTTATTCTAACGATTTTGTCGTTGTCTCTTCTTTTTTTTTTTTCCCCTTCCTTCTTTTGTTGTCCTATATCCTCTGTGTGATAGTGGGATGTACGGTCAGTGTCATTTGTGTGTGTTGTCATTAGGTCGTGTGTGTTATTGAGTTATTGCGTCTAGTGGTCCGTCTGGTCTGGAGTGTGATTCTCCCTCCGTCCCCTTCCCTTGTTAATTCCAGTATTTGTGTGGTCAGTCCCACCCCTCCCTCTTCGCGTTTCCCCATTATCCTTGTGGTGATCAAGGTGTTCAGCTAATAAAATTGCAAGAGTAGTGTCTCTATAGTTCTTATTTGTTTCTCTCTTCGGGTCCGTGGCGGTTTTGGAGTGGGGATGTTCTCACTGGATCAGTTGAGTGGACGAGGATCGGGGCTCATTGATGTGTGTTGGTGTTTTCTCTTCTAGTGTTGTCATGAGGTTTGAGCTTTAGCCATAGTGGTTATATAGGTGTACAAGTCCGGTGAGGCGGTGTGGGTCAGCTCTTTTGTGGGGGAGGTTTGAGAGTTTCGGGGGAGTCCCCTGGGGGGTAGTATTGGCTTTATCTTGAGCAGTGTCCCGGGGGAGGTTGCCAGGGGCTTTGGGTTCTCATTTCGTTGGTTCTAGGTCCATTGGGCAGATTCTTTGCGGTAAAGTTTATCTTATTTGTCGTCTGTTGTTTTCTCCTAGCGGCCTGAACGGTGTGGCAGGGATTGTCCCCCTTGACGTCTAGTAGCGGTGTTGTCTTCTATGGCGTGAGGGGGTCTTTTCTGTTTGGCCGGGTGTGGGGATGTAGATCTGTCTCTGGAGCAGTCTCTTCCCCTGTATCCCGTTAGGAGGGTGGGGTTCAAGAGCTGGATTCCCAGAGAGTCAGCCATTGGACCCATTTCTGCGGCTGTGGTGAGGATATGGGTTTGGTTGCCTTTTTTGACCAGCAGTTTAAAGGGGTGGCCCCATGTGTATTTTAGCCCCTGTTCTTGGAGGGCCAAGGTGAGGGGTTTTAAATCTCTTCTCCTCTTTAATGTAGTTGGGGCCAGGTCCTGGAAGAATGTTAGGCGGACATCTTTATACTTGGGAGGACGGTCTCTGGCTAGTTGCATTAACTTTTCTTTAGTTTGGAAGTAGTGGAGGCGAATTATTACGTCTCTTGGAGTAGAGAGATTCAGACTAGGGGGTCGTAGTGCTCTGTGAGCCCGGTCCATTTCCAGGAGTGGTAGCGGCAATTCGGGTGCCATTGCAGAGAAGATGTCTTTCAGGGTGGCGCTTAGGGTTTCTGGCTGGACTGCTTCGGGTAGGCCACGGAGTCGGATGTTATTCCTCCGTGACCTGTTGTTAAGGTCCTCCAGGTTGTCCTCCATGGCCGTGAGGCGGCCATGGAGGTAGGAGATTTCTTGGAACTGCGAGGTGGAGGCCGCTGTCAGTGTTGTGAGACGTACCTCTGTCTGGTCTGTGCTGGCATTAAGTGTCTGTATTTCTGTTCTGAGGCCTGCGAGGTGTCTGCTGATCTCCTCTGCCACGTGGGATTTTATGTCTGCTGTGGCTTCCTTCAGCATGTCTCTGAGGCTCCCGATGGTGAGGGGGATCGAGGGGTCAGATGTGGGGTCGGTCCCCTCTGGGTCTGTACCTTGGTCGTCCCCATGATAGGAGTAGGGAGGCCTCTGGGAGTCCCCCGGCGTGCCGAACATGGAGGCTACCGACGGTGGAAGCTCCTTTTTTTTTTTTCTGTCGCCCATTTTGTGGAGCCTGGTGCCGGTCGGTCACTTGGAGGCTGTTTGGGGGGTGTTTGGGCCGTGTGTGATGCGGATGATGGCTGATTCTGTGCTTGGGGGAGAGGGAGCTGTGAGATCAGGCGTCCATCTTCCTCCGCCCCCCTGGATTAACTTTTAAAATGATTCCATATATATTTTGATATTTTAGGATCTATATTTTTTTTTTAATATGTTGTAAACAACATTTTAAAAGTTTATCTTAAAATATTAAATTGTTTGGAAAGCTTATCCAACAATATGAAATCAGGACCTTGATTTGAAAACTTACCTAGAACTCACTTGCCATTGCTGGTAGTTCATGCTTTACAAAATAAAGGGTTATTCATTAAAGTGTGAGATTCAAAGAGAATTTAAAATACCAGTCCAAAATTTTAACTATTGGGTCTTAAGATTTTCTGGAAATCACTTGGAATTGCTGTAGGTTCACGGTTTAGTGAAAAACCCAGTGTTTCAGTGATCTCCTATTATTGGTCTTCTATAAATGTGTTTACTTAAATCTAAGCTTCAATTTCTCTTTTCCAAACAGCTCTCTATACGATGTCGTGCTCCTGAAGTATCCCAATTCGTCTTCCAAGCTTATGAGATAATCCTGAAGAATTTAGATCTTTCTTTGTGTTCTGGCTTCCAGCCATAGTGAAGATCACTATCCTTCTGCCAGAGGTTGGCCATGAAGAAAGGCGGCCACATGTGCATGTCTGTGCAACCTTTCTAGACAAGAAAAACAAACATGGACCAAATAATGAAAAGTGTTGATTTTATGCTCTTATTCCAAAACTTTCCCAAATGTAACATCTTCATTGAAGCTATTGACAGTGAAGTGGTTACGCAATGTCTTTTTCTGTTTGGTAAGTTTGGTATATAGTTAGGCTCTTTTACCTTTCAACAGAACTTGGATTAAAATGTGTAAATATATATTAAAAAAAAAAAAAAACCTCTTCCAATTTTGAGTTTGACCATATTTTTGTAAATGAAGATCTTTCTCACTCTATTGATTGCCGGCAGAAGTATTGCATTTTAAGGCTGCCGATATAGTCTCATTAGCCAGTTGAGCTATTTCATTTTGTAGTGCTTCAACTGTGGTTACAACAAAAGCAGGTCTCCATTTTATTTTAATTCTGTTAAATGATCATACTTTAGTTAGAAATTTGAATTAAAACTAACCAATGCAAATGAAGGTCTTCAAAGTCAATGTTGTAAAAAAAATCCATATTTTTCAGATTCCCTTTCTTTTTGTTACACTAAATTGTGCTGAAATAATTTGTAAAAGAAAAAATAATCAACCCACTTTTTTCTAGCTGATTATCTATCACATTAATACATGGCACAATCATCTCAAAACTATTTTTTCATAAACAGCTTAAATGGAAACATAAATAAACGTTGTAAACTCTTTGGGCTAATGCAGTGTTTTGCTGACATTATTTCTTGCATAAACGTTTGAATTGCTCTCAGCCAGGAGAGGAATCCAGTGCACCTATACACGGCTAGAAAATCTCCAAGTACCCTCTTTCCTTACAGTACTTTTTTTCTTTCATATTTTTAAAGGTGTTTGAAATACTGGCTTTTGTACTCTTGTGGTTTTTGCTCTGCAGTCCTACAAAATTCTGACTGTTTAATAGTTGGGTTTCTTTTTTTGTTAAACTTGCAATCAGAAAGATGGGCACTTTTCCATCTGTGAATCATGAAAAAGAGGGCATTTTCCTCCATACTCCACTTCTGTTCTGAGTAATGATTAATATATACATATATAAATAAAGAAATATATTGTAAGTCTTCTCTGTGTAAGATGATGAAATTGAATAAAAGTTGTAGATGGTGTTCAAAACATTACTTTTAATCAGATATATTTGAAACTCAGTTTGACATAGTCTTCTTATTAAGGAAAGTAGCTAATACAGAGTTTAGGAGTATAGAGAGGACATCTGTGAACTAATTTTCCTTTATTGGTTTAGAGATTTGCTGCCTAAAAAATTAAAGCAATTTTCTATGTTTATGACTTTTACTGGTTTTTATGTGTCTCCTTACCTGTATGTGTCATTCAATAAGTTACAATTATGCTTAAGCCTGATCCCATTGCTTCCATGCTTAAATTGGTATTCACAAAAATGGTGCAAGGGCTTGGAGCCCTCTAAATAGTTTCTTAACATTGCAGCTGAGCGATAGCTGCAGGCCCAGACCAGGAAAAATGGTAATGAGCCCTGGCAATTAACCATAGAAGTGCATTAGTTTCAAGGGGGACACAAGCAACCCGAAAATTATACTGTACACAATAGAACTAGCAAACCATGCACACTATAAAGTTCACCAAGTATTTATTTGACAAATTATTTTCTACATGAATGCATACTCTCAGGGGAAGAGAGAAACCCTGTTACACGTCATGGACTATGGTACATAGAAAATGTGAAAAATAGCATGTTTAAAAAAACAAAACAAAAAAAAAACAGAAAATCCGAGATCAGAGGAGACTGTCCGTGAAGTACAATCTAAAAAAAATTATGAAAATCCTGGGTTACAAAATTTCACCAGTCAAATAGTAGCAATACCAATAAATGTGACTAAGTGGTTCTTCCTGAATGTTGGGGGCCTTAACTTGAAGGTCCAAAATTGCATTCAGGTGCAGTAATCACATCAGTTGAAGAAAATAAAGTCTGCAATGGCGGTATTCTCTAGTGCAGGGCTTCCCAAACTTTTATGGGCCGAGACCCACTTTTCAAAACAGTAATTTTTCGAGACCCACTTGCTTTTAATGCATATTTTAAAAAGTGAACACCATGGCAATAAGCTTTGGAGGCATACAATTGGCACACCATAGCAATCCGCTTTAGATGCACACAATTGACACACCATGACAATTACTTTTAGAGAAATAAAATTGGCACACCATGGCAAACAGCTTTAGAGGCATACAATTGGCAAACTATAGCAATCTGCTTTAGATGCATACAATTGGCACACCGTGGAAATCCGCTTTAGATGCATACAATTGGCACACCGTGGCAATCCGCTTTAGATGCATACAATTGGCATACCGTGGCAATCAGCTTTAGATGCATACAATTGGCATACCGTGGCAATCAGCTTTAGATGCATACAATTGGCATACCGTGGCAATCAGCTTTACAGGCATGCAATTGGCACACTATAGCAATCCGCTTTAAATGGATACAATTGGCACACTGTGGCAATCAGTTTTTAGAGGCACAAAATTGGCACACTGTGGCAATCAGTTTTTAGAGGCACAAAATTGGCACACCGTGGCAATCAGTTTTTAGAGGCACAAAATTGGCACACCATGGCAATTGGCTTTAGATGCATAAAATTGGTACATCATGGCAATCGGCTTTAGATGCATAAAATTGGTACATCATGGCAATCAGTTTTAGAGGCATACAATTGGAACATCATGGCAGCTTTAAATACATAAACTTGGCACACTATGGCAATCAACTTTAGCTGCATAAACTTGGTATATCATGGTAATCACTTTTAGATGCATAAACTTGGCACATCATGGCAATAAGTTTCAGAGGCATACAATTGGTACACCATGGCAATCAGTTTTAAAAGCATATAATTGGCATACAATGGCAATCCGCTTTAGATGCATAAAATTGGCATAACATGGCAGTTTTAGAGGCATAATTTTGAGATATCATGGCAGTTTTAGAGGCAGAAACTTTGCACATCATGGCAATCAGTTTTAGAGACATACAACTACTTACTCACAGACTCAGAATCAGAAGTGATGTGTACTGCTCTTTCATTCAGGCACCTCACGTTGGTTATCCCAGTGGTAGAACTAATGTAGAGAGGACCCTGGTGCAAGTTTTTCTGGGCCCCCCTCTAGTGAAAGTGTAGCCAAAAGGTAGACCTCCATTTGTCGGAGAACTTCAACAATGCTATGCCAGGTGGAGATCTACCATTTGCACATCATTGCAGGGTTATATTTGTGAGCAGTGTTTGAATGTAAGCATGTTTTTGTATTAAGTATATGTGTGCATGTATGGGTGTATTTGTATGTACTGTTGCTATTGGAATGTAGTGGTGTACTTGTTTGTAATGTTTGCTTCTGAATGCAGGAGTGTTTGTAGATCATTTTAGTGTTTTAATGCAGGGGTGTATGTAATATTTGCGTTTGATTGCTGTGTGTGTGGTGGATGCAGTGTGTACATATACACAATGTGTGTTTGAATGTAAGCATGTTTTTTGTATGGAGTATGTGTGCAGTGTATATACACACAGACACACATTGACACAGCGATACGCACAATGACACCTAGTTTCCCCCACACAGATACAGACACTCATGTACACAGACACACAAATACACACACACTGACACAAAAGGACACGCAGAGACAGGAGGTGAGGGTGACAGTGTGGGAGGGAGTTTATGTACTGGTAACAGTGTGGGGGGCAACAGGGGGAGAAAGGATTTCAGTGCAGGGAGAGAAGGGGTTTCAGTGCGGGGAGGGGGGCAGGGAGAGAAGGGGGTACAGT